GTTAAATAAAATAGAATCAAATCTTTTAAAAAGGAATTTAATCTAAAATTAAATTTTTATTTTCAAACCAAATATCAAATCTTAAAATTCTATTTAGATTAAAAATTAAACTTTTCTATCTTCCTTAGTTTGCGAAACTTTAAGATAATATAACTCACGGCAGGACTCACCTCCTCCAACCATTACATGAAATCTAAAATTTTATCTTATAACTTCGATTTTCGTGATTTCATGATAATTTTGTTGCATTCACTTCTTCGTAATTCATCACAAATTAAATCCTAAAACAAATTTTCAAAAACTAAATAAATTATTGGAAAAAGTTCAAAAAAACCCTATAGTATTGCGTTGAATCACTTATACCTCTATGCTTTACTTTTAATAACTTAACTCCATGTGATTTTTTCAATCCACATTCCTCCTTAACATTGTTAGAAACTTAACTAAAATTATCTACTTTATCCTTCTTAGAAGAAGAAAGTAGAGTGACATAAAAAAATAAGACCAAATATTAAGAAAACTTAGAATGCTTAATAAAAGACTAAAAGAAAAAAAAAGTAGAAGAAAAAAAAATGTCAAATGTGTCTAAAAAAAAAGAAAATAGATTAAGAACAAAAAATAGAAAAAAATAAGACCAAATGTGTTAAAAATCATAATAGTAACAAAAGAAAAAAATTAAAAATATGAAATTGGTCTAAATGAAAAAATTATACTAATGACAAAAAAAATTAAGTGTAAAATAAAATAAAAAAGGAATATGTAGCCCCCCTTCTAGAACCGATTTGTTATTATTGCTTATAATATCAAGCGTAGTTACAATCAAGTAAATGAGTTAAAATTACATGTAAATTTTTTTCTTTTACTTCTTATTAAACATGAACTCTGTATTCAAAGAATTCAAATACAATAATTTAATTAACCATAGTTATCTGTATCTTACGATACACAATACGATTCATAAGCCTAACGAAACATATCGTGGGGTTTATCAGAAACCTATTTGTATGGAACGATATGATACATGTATCATAAAATACAAAAATTAAATCAAAACTTATAATTTGTAATATAAAAAAGATATAAAGATTTGATTTGTAATTTAAATTAAAAAAATAAAAGGACCCTTTTTGAAAGAGGATGATGTATTAGTTATGTAATTGATAGATGCTGATAGTGATAGTAGTGATAATATTAGTCTTAATGATTGATGAGTAGAAGAATAACTAGTTTGCATTTTAATTACTTATGTATTTTGCTTATTGGATCTTTTTTGAAATTTGAATTTATACGATATTAATTATATTATATTTTTGTATTTTACGATTCACGATACACGTTACAAAGAACGGCCAAATGATACATGATACGTCTTGCGATTCAACAACCTTCATTGTAATTTATACAATGTGTGAAACATCATAAATTAACTTAATATCATCCACCATGTAGCCCCTATAAGCTAATATGGTGCATGCATGCATAACAACGTAAAAATTTGGCAGAATAACGACTTAAAAAATTCAGAATGATTTTCTTGTAGGTGTCAACGTCTATATATAGACACCTAAAGGACATGATGAATCATCATCGGCGAACCGCCGGGACTAACGACTATGAACTGATATGACCGGTGATCGGTTCAGTCTGAACGCACCATTTCGGTTCAAAACTGAAAACGAAAAGAAAGAATCTGTTCGGTTCAAAATAGGCGGGAAGCAATAGATAAGATAGAGGTATTTTGGACAAAAAATTATTTAATAAAAATTATTTAATTTTTCTAGTACACACGTAAGTGCCACTGAGTCGGATGGTAGCAGCGCTGAGTGCACGTGTGGGTGACAAAGGCCCACCTGCACGTGTGGCTGACCAAGGCTTTGTTTGGGAGTTGGTTTTAGGAGGGGAAGGAAAGAAAATGGAGAGTTTTAGTAAGCCCTTCCCATGCCTGTGAGTTAAAAAATGAGGGGAAGAAATTGGAAATTTTTAGTAGACCTTCATTCTTCTTAAAATTAAAGTTCCCCCAATTTGGGGAGTTTGAGGGGGAACATATTAAAAATTACTTATCTATCCTTTACATTAAAAATGTGAAAACGACATAAATGTGAATCATTTTTAAATGTTATATTATTAGAAAAGTCTCAGATATCGACAAAATTTATCAATGAAAAATATTTCGTCAAAAATAGTGATTAAATTTTTGATGAAAATCATATACGTCAAAAAATTTGCGTCAAAACTAAAGATGATATTAGAAACGGAAACAGATTTTGCCATAAACACTGACATAAATATTTTACGAAAAAAAATTAAGTAAAAATTATTGATAGAATCTAAATTCCGTCGAAAGTTTTTACGAAAATATTTCCGTCCAAAATTTTGACGTAAAATAATTACGTTAAAATTTTTTACGGAATATTTTTCCATTAAAACTTTCCTCAAAAATTTTCGACAAAAAATATTTCTATCACAATTTGTTACTAAAAACATTTCTGTAAAAAATTTTGACGAAATTTTTTTTTTGTCAAAATTATTTACAGAATCTAAATTTCATCAAAACACTTCCTTCAAAATATTTTACAAAAAAATATATTCATCGAAATTTACATCGAAAAATATTTTCATTGAAATTTTTTGAAAAAAAAAATGTCATCAAAATTCTGTACAGAATTCAAATTACGTAGAAAATTTTCGACTGAAACATTTTCGTTAAATATTTTGACAAAAATTTTTTTTTTTCAAAATTTTTAACGAAACACATTTGCCTCAAAAATTTGCAATGAAAAATATTTCCATTAAAATTTTCAACGGAACACAGTTCTGTCGAAAATATTTTCGAAAACTTTTTGACGAAAAATATTCCGATAAAAAATTTTAACGGAAAAAATATTTTGTCAAAATTCTTTACAGAATCTAAATTTCATCCAAAGTTTCGAATGAAACATTTGCTTCAAAATTTTTGACAAAAAAATTTCTGTCAAAATTTTCGTCAGAATACATTTCCATCGAAATTTTGAACGGAAAATCTTCCGTCAAATTTTTTGACGGAATTCTTTTTTCATTTAAAACATTTGATGGAGGAAATCATTTTCGTCAAAACTTTTGACGGAAACTAAATTTCGTCGAAAATTTATTTGCGTAAAAATTTTCATCTGAGAAAAAAATTCTATCACTTTTAGAGGAAAATTTTTTCGACGAAAAAATAATTTTGCGACAAAATTTTCATCATTTACAATGTAGAAACTTCATCGAAAATATGATCTTTTTTGGTATTGTGAAAAATACAAAAATAATTTTTTAGAAATTTTCAATTTAATTTAATTTGTAAAATGTAATAATTATATTAATTTTTAAAAAATGGGTAAAATAGTAATGAAATCTCATTAATTTTCATTTTTTCTCCCTTAGCATTTTTTTAACTCCCAAACAAGAAAAAAGAATATCCTTCAATTTCCTTTCCTCCCTTAGATCCCCTTTCATCCTTTCCTTTCCAAACTTTCAAACAAAACCCACAAGACAAACTAAGAGATGACGTGGTGACTTATAAACCTTTCCACCTCTCTTTACTTATCCAATGTGAGACTTGTTACCAGAATACTTTCGTATTCTCCTTTCCTCTTTTGGGAAAATGTAGGTGGATATTGAAAAATACCACGTTTGGTTCAGGTTTTTTCAAGAAATACCAGGCAAATAGGATAGATGGGAAAATAACTTTTGTGTTGATTTTTAGATGAAATTCACTGTTACAGAATACCACTTGAGATGTGGTATTTTGAGATAACTGGGGAAGTGAAAAAACAGGTGCAAAGTTTCTCCCGAACATAGATTTTGCATATTTAAATAAATTTTCCCGGTAATATTTGGGTCAACCAAACAACTTTTTTACATTTTCCTATCAAACTCACTTTCCAACCATTTTCCTATCAATTACATTTCCCTAGTAAAAAAATATTTCTCCCAAACCAAACACTACCTAATTGATAACCCACGGAATTTTATACACAAATTCTAACAATTATTCACCTAATAAACAATTAGAGTAGGTGAGATAAAGACTTTTTTTTATCCTATTCAACACCTTTTTTTATTAAAAAAAAAACCCGTGTTTTGTTTTTTTCCTTTTATTTACATTTTACTTTAAACTCCTAATTTATTATTAGTTTCTATATTTTTAATCCTTATAAGTTATAAATAAAATATGCTTCCGCAGTTCTTCAATTTACTTAATTTTTTTAAAATAAAATTTAAACTTATTTCACCATGAATGCCTATAATATACCATTCAATTATTATGTAACAAATATATATATAGGCAAAATGATTTGTAATGCAATTACGTATAAACATTAGTGCAGTCACTTAAAAATTACGTCGTTGAAATAACAAAATTCTTATAATTGCTATAAAAATAACAAATCTTACGCTAAATATTGATCATTGATTTCTTTGTATTTAACGTCTCAAATATCTAATAAATAATAACATTTAGATGTAAAATAGGATAACTCACACTGGTATATATAATTGCAACCAATTAGCCTAATGCCTAGTGTTAAAAAACTTGAACCCATCGTTGACCCGGTTAGGGTACTTGATTAATAAGTCACCATGGGTCATTGATCCACCACATAAACTAAATATATATAATAAAATACAATAAATATAAAATTAGAAGATTTTAACTATTAATTAGAGTTGAATTAGTACTAAGTGTTATAAGTTATAATCTATATTTTTTAGATTCGAATATCGTTAGTGATATTTTTCAAATATTTTGTCAAAAATTTCAAAAAATCAATTTCAAAAAAAAAATCAGTGTCAGTTTAATGGTGATTAAACCCGGTTCAGGACCACTTCACCGATTTCATACCAGATTAAATAGATAATCTGGCCGATTCTTAAACTGAATCGGTTGGGGATCTGGTTTACGGATCAACGGTCGAACCCACCGGTCAGGTCGCTTTTTATAACATTATTAATGCCTTCAACGAGTAAAGAAAGCGCAACACAGAAAGCTCATAAATGGAGAAGGAAAGGAAAAGCCATGTAGCACACTGTTTGGTCCTACCTTATCCTCTGCAAGGCCACATCAATCCTATGCTTCAATTCTCCAAGCGTTTGGTACAGAGAGGAGTAAAGGTCACACTGGCAAATACTGTTTCCATTTGGAACACTATTAGCAACATAAATCTCACTTCCATTGAAATTGAGAGCATCTCAGATGGGTATGATGAGGGAGGACTTGCAGCAGCAGGAAGCATAGATGTTTATAAAGAAACCTTTTGGAGAATTGGACCACAAACCTTAGATCAGCTTCTTCAGAAGCTTGCGAACTCAAACAACCCTGTAGATTGTGTTATCCATGATGCTTTCTTGCCTTGGGCCCTTGATGTTGCCAAGAGTTTTGGGATCCAGGTTGCTGTGTTTTTAACTCAAGCTTGTTCTGTTAACAATATAAACTTCCATGCTTTTAAGAAATTTCTTGAGTTACCTCTGTCACAGACAGAGATCTTGCTACCAGGGTTACCAAAACTTGCACCTAAAGATTTGCCATCTTTCTTGTATAAATATGGATCCACACCAGGCTACTTTGATATACTTTTGAATCAATTTTCCAGGATTGATAAAGCAGATTGGGTTCTTGTCAACACTTTTTATGAACTGGAACCAGAGGTAAGTGACTTGTATAGTTGAAAATTCCATTGATTAATTTGGTTTGGTTTGGTTTTATTCATTGGAATGTACTGATACTGTTGGAAAATGAGATTGACTCACGATTAATTAGTTCTGACATTGGTCATGAATGAATTAAGTAAGATTACACGAGTGAAATGACCCAACACGATTTTTTTAAGGTATTGAATTAAGATGTAACGTCGTGTCAGCTATTAGTTGTATAAGGCTATACAAGCAAACTGACCCAAATTCAACGCTGGGTTAAGATGCAGTGTCGAGTCTACTTATTGTTATTGTTAAAGATTTTAGATTAAGAAGTGGTTTTAGAGTTCACTTATCTAGTTTGTGTTTTCTACTTGCCCCACCATTGGTGGCCTCCCCTATTTGAGCTCCCAGTGTCTTTCATAGCAGCTAGTTATTTATTTTTTGTTTTGGATATTGATGATTGAAATCTGAAATGAAATTCCATTTAGGTTGTGGATTGGTTGGGTAAGCTTTGGCCGTTGAAGACAATAGGACCATCCTTGCCATCTATGTTCTTGGACAAAAGACTCAAAGATGACAAAGACTACGATATTAGCATCTTTAGTCCAAACATAGAAGATTGGATCAAATGGCTCGATGATAAACCCAAAGACTCAGTTGTGTATGTCTCTTTTGGGAGCCTTGCAGGTCTGAGTGTGGAGCAAACAGAGGAACTAGCTTGGGGTTTGAAAGATTGTGGGAGTTATTTCATATGGGTGGTTAGAGATTCTGAAAAGGATAAGCTTCCAAAGGAATTTTTGGACACATCAGAGAAGGGTTTAATAGTTACGTGGTGTCACCAATTACAAGTCTTAACGCATGAGGCTGTGGGGTGTTTTGTCACACATTGTGGTTGGAACTCCACATTGGAAGCTTTGTGTGTAGGAGTTCCAGTGATTGCAATGCCAGTGTGGACAGATCAAATTACTAATGCAAAGCTTATTATAGATGTATGGAAAATGGGACTCAAAGCTGTTGTTGATGAGAAAGAGATAGTTAGAAGAGAAACAATTAAAGATTGCATAAAGGAAATAATGGAGAATGAAAAAGGAAATGAGATAAAGAACAATGCCATCAAATGGAAGAAACTGGCCAAGAATGCTATTGATGAGGGAGGAAGTTCTGATAAAAATATTGCAGAATTTGTGGCTAAATTGGCACACTGCTGAGCTACATTATTTTGATGAGGGAGGAAGTTCTAGTAAAAGTTGTGTGTCACTACCAAATTATGAATAAATGTGGTGTGTCACTCTGAGCTTCCAAATTATGATATGCTAAACTTGCTCAGAATTGTAGCTGTTGGCTTCTGAAAAGGTAACAAGAAAACAAGGTTGTCAATAAATTATGGTGAGAATGTGTTGGTGTGAAAAACATGTACAAGAGTTGGCATCTGATTTTGCATGTCATCTCCTAAATCGTTTATTTTCTCTTATTTCTCACTGAGTTTTGCAAGTTGAGTTTGCTGCATCATACAAAGAACTGTAGCATAAACAACAACCACATGTCTAATCACATATAGTGTATTAGACCCAATAAAATGGGCCTTTTGACTATAATGATATAAAAAGAGAAATTTTCACTTGATTGATTCAAAATCTAAATATTTTATCAAAATTATACATAAGATGTGTATGGGGTGTCGTGTCTGCTTTCAAATTGCATATGAGGAGTTGTGTGACTTGCACCTATGTGTGACTTGCAGTTCCCATCACGTAACAAGCACACCTTCACCCATGCGCACAAGTTGTACATCTTTCTCATGCGTGACTTTAACTTGCTATCCCATATACATATCACAACATTATTTTGGATTTTTTGACCATTCAGGCACTTTTTTTATAATATGGACTGGATTAATCCGCCTGTGAGAAATATTACCACATTAATACAGTTAATGGCGTATGTTGATTATACGGAACCAGTGTCGCATGTCCCTTTTTTTTATAATATACACTGGATTAATCTGCCATTCAGAAATATTACCACATTAATACAGTTGATGGCGGATGTTGACTATGCGGAACCAACGCGACAACACTGAGTGAGGAAAAAAGAATCATGAATCAACCTTACAAAATACTCAAATTCTGTTGCTAAACCAAAAATCATAATTTCAACGTCAAAACAGAATCATGAATCACAACAAAACTCATACAATCTGCATTTAAGTTACTTTCAAAAGAAAAATTCTCAAACTAAATAACATATATTTTATCAGATCCAACAAACAAATCCATACTATGTAAATTAAAATAACTACATGAGTCCAACAAACATATCATGATGCTTGTAGTAAGTATAACCTCTCTCAAAAATCTTTTAATATATTCATATACACAATCTAACATGTTGAGATGTTGGTTTCTCCTACATAAGAAATAGAGTTATATTCTATTAAAATATAATCGAATATAATTAAGTTATAAATAACTGCAATTGATTAAATTTATATATTTTATTTTTTCTTCAAAGGATACTTATTCTATTTTATTTTATTTAAAATAAATAGTACCATATAGGCCGGCCTGTAGGCTTATAGGCCAGGCCTTGAGAAAGTGGGCCTACAGACTTTTTATTAAACAAGCTTTTTCAAGGCTCAAGCCCGGCCTATTTTACGAAATATACTAGATCAGGTCTGACTTGACGTTGATCGAGCCGTAGACCTCTCTGTAGGCCGGGCCGGCCCAGTTTCACAACTATTCGCTAGTGCAGATTTTTTTTTGGGATATTACAGGAAGACTAAAAATAGAAAACGAGAAAAGGACTATAGCAATATAATACCAGCCAAAAAGATGTTGCTATTAAGGGGGTGTTTGGTAGAGGAAAAAAAATTTTTATCCGAAAATTTCGATTTTCAGAAATATGATGAAAACATTCAGTTTACGATAATATCCAAAAATTAAAAATTTAAAAAAATTCAATTTTTTAAAAATTCTGAAAAATATCTTGTACCAAACGCCCCTAAGACATCCTGCCTCAAATGCGTAGGTTGGGCTAAGATATAAGCTGGACCTTATATATTAAATTGCATTAGTCTTAAAAACATAAATATTCTATTTATTTTGTTTAATTTACTTGTGTTATCCTTTTAGTTTTAAACAGGCCTTCACTAGGCACACAGGTTTTGGATCTCATATAAAGGCAATTTTATTATTAAACTACTTTACTAATTATGCATAGGAAGCCACGTACCCCCGCATACACAGAAATATATATGGGGCTGTGCCTCTCTTAGGCACCAATATAATTCGCCATTGTACATAGTTTGTTACAATAATGAGCTCACGAGCCTTTGTGGAATACCATAATAATAACATGTTCTTGTTGGGTTTAGTATGCTCTTTTTATTTAAGTCCAATAGTTTTAGTGAGAGTGAGCCTAAAGTCTAATTTTAACCTATGAAGCTTAGAATTAGTTTTGGATTGGGCAGAGTATAAACTCTCTTTTCTCTCTAGTGCCTCCAAGGGTTACAGACATCAGAAACACACCAAAGAGGCAGATGTTCATCATCTGAACGGTTGCCCACACGACCCCCTGATCCCCTTGAGTCATAGCCTGGAAGATCAACCATAGAGCGAAATTGCAACCGTTCATGGTGCGTTAATGCAAATCGCAAGGCTTGAGGAGGAGAACTAAACGTGAGAAATTGTCATGCTCGCTGCTTCATCCCAGGTAATCAAAGCGGTGTCTTTATTCTTCATCACATCGGTACGATGCGCTTCAGCGTTTTTGCTGATATACCTTCATATGGTATCACAGCCTGGTTGTGATGGGGATTTAGATTAGCTTTGATTTATTTATTTATTTTTGTGATTTTGAAAATATGGCACCTTTGTTTTGTATCTGTTATCTATATTCATATTGATTTATTATAGTTCTTTTTCATAAAAGTTTAAATTTTAATTGGTAAAAATACTTTAACCCATGGTTAGGGTCTCTCGTGTATTTTTCGAATTGTAACAAGGAGGCTAATCCCATATGATTAGGTTTCCTCCTTGCTGTTTTTTTTATTTTTTGAAATTTCTGTGTATTTTTCCAATATTTTGCAAAAGTTCAAGATCGAGAAACCGCGAGGAAGATGCGCAGTCAGCACTATCAGAGACTTTTCGAGGACTTCCCGATCTAAGAATGAGGCGATCCATATATGGTTGGAAAGAGGACGGAAAGACGAACACAAGCGGCTGCGAGTGGCCAACACTCTCCGGCAAAGAATGAGAGCGTGAGCGAGCGTCCGGCCACCTTTTTGGGTGGTTTCGGCGGCGGTGCACTCGTTTCTATATGGCGATCCTTCCCCTTGAGTTTCGGCCTGAGTTGAGTTCGGGTGACGGCGCGGCAGACCTGACGGCTAGGGTTCTTATTTCGCGTCCTTGGGTTTCTCGCCAAAGGATTGGGTCTTTGGCCTTTTGGGCCCATGGAAACCCTAAAGGGGCTTGAGACAGATACTATGGGCTAGGCGAAAGTGGAATTCCAAAGTTGTAATATTTTTTTTTATTTTCTTTAAAATAGGAAGGCCATGGATTAAAGTAATTAGAATTTATTATTTAATACTTTTATTGATTGGTCTGAAATATATGTGCGATTAACATGATATTTGCGATAACATGTTATATAGGATAGGAAGGTGCCATATTGTTGCATGATCACATGTCATACATGCATATTTACTATTATGTCATTACCGACTAGTATGATAGTTTATGCGCGTAGTTTTTTGATTTTAAATATTTCGGTAAAATAAAATTATGATTATTATGATTTTAGAAACAAAATCTAGATCAATGGTTATATTAATTTCAAAAATTAATTAATTATTATGATTTTGATAAAATCTAGAATAATCAAATTGATAATTTTTGGAGTATAAAATCAAGACAAATTAGTAAGAAAATTTTCTACGAGAATTCTTTTATTCTGCGAGTAATTTGTGGGTCTACTAAAATGGTCATGTGTTAAACACACGCTGCATACCACAATCATGTATCATGATTGTGTGAAGCACACGCTGCCTATCATGACCGAATTTTAGGACCTTAATGATTTCAAAATTCAGATAAGCTAAGTGATGCACGTTCATCGACGCTCTTGCTTACATAGTTTTTGAAATCAAACAAAGGATACTCTCAATTAAATAATTCTTGGAAATTGGAAAATATTGCTTATGTTGAATAGAAGAAGATTTAAATTAAGAAATTAATTTAACCTTCAAGCGCATTATAGGACCATTAATAAAATAATCATGTGAAGTCCCATCAAATAAGCACGATTGGATTTTATTAGATTAGACCTAAATAATTATGGGAGGAGATTTAAATTAAGAAATTAATTTAACCTCCAGGCGCATTGTGGGCCTATCAATATAATAATCATGTGAGGCCCCAACAGATAAGCATGATTGGATTTTATTGGGCCTTAATAATGTCAAAATTTTAATAAAGTATTGTACGACCATCGTCGATAATACTAAGTTATTAAAGATAATTTTGAAATTAAACAATGAATTCGACAGGACTTATGAAAATTGAATGGGTGAAGGTTTTAAAAATTAAATAATTAATTTTTAAATCTGCGAGCTCCATTTGTGGGTTTATTAGTGAAATGGTTATCGCTGAAGCCCCGTTGGATAAAGATAATCAGATTTCACTAGATTAAATCTTAATAATTTCAAAATTTTAGTAAAGTATTGTACGACCCATCATCGGCAATGCTTAGACACTAAGGATAATTTTGAAATTAAACAATGGTTAATTACATTCAACTTTGGTAAAATTGTTAACCCTCCCGTCGAGGCTCTGACAATGGCTCTGAAGGCCTAAGATAACAATTTTGGTTTTTACAAGTGACTTGCCCATCGTAAGCCTTGTAAAGATAAACTGAAGGATTGTTAACAATAAACAAGAGTAGTTATGAGAATCTACTTGTACTTCGTTTGTTTATTGCATTATTTGTTTGTAATTATGTGCTTTATATATTTTTTCAGAAAATGACTTCCTTCAATCCTATAGCCATGATTTTGAGTCAAAAACCTCTAGATGGTACAAACTATGAAGAATGGAAAAGGAACCTTGATGTTGTTCTTAAACATGAAAAGCTGAAATTTGTCCTTACCGTACCAAAGTCATGGCAACCTGTAGAGAATGCATCTAAGAAAACTAAGATGCATTTCTCAGATTGGGAAAGGGCAGATATGGTAGTTCGCTGCTATATTATTGTCAATCTTTCTAAATACTTGCAGAAGCAAGTGTACATGATTAAGAGTGGAGTAGAAATGCTTCAGACTCTTAATGACATGTTTGCTGCGTCTAGCAGCTCTGCTAGACAGAATGCAGTCAGTGCAGGTTTTGTTAAGAGTCTTGTTAAATCCAAAGGGAAACCCAAGGGTGGTAACAAGAACAAAATGACTTGGTTATCAATTGTCAAACCAGTTGCAATGAAGAAGCCGAAAGGTAAGTGCTTCAATTGCAGGCTGAAGGGACATTTGATGAAAGATTACCCAGAGGTGATGAAAAGAAAAAGGTAACGGTAATTTAAAAGGCTTAAT